AGCTCGGAAGGATCACTTTCCCTTGCCATTCCTTGATCAAGTGTTGGAGAGGGTAGCTAGGCATCTCTTCTATTGCTTCTTAGATGGCTATTCCAACTACAATTAGATAAAGATCCCCTTGGAGGATCAAGAGAAGACCACATTCACGTGCCCTTTTGGTAGTTATGCCTATCGCTGAATGTCATTTGGTTTGTGCAATGCCCCAAGAACTTTTCAAAGATGTATGGATGGGGATATTCAGTGACATAGTGGAAAATATTGTGGAGGTCTTCATGGATGACTTTTCAGTATTTGGGGACTCATTTGAAGGATGCTTGGAAAATTTGGAGAAAGTTCTAAAGAGATGTGAAGAGAAGAATTTGGTGCTTAAATGGGAAAAATGTCACTTCACAGTAACACAAGGGATTATGCTTGGACACATTGTGTCTGCAAAGGGAATTGAAGTGGACAAATCTAAAGAGGAAGCATTTTCCAACCTACCCACTCCTAAGGTCGTCAAAGACATTAGGTCGTTTCTTGACCATGTAGGTTTTTATCGTGGTTTCATTAAAGATTTTAGTGTATTGGCAAGACCTTTGACCAATTTGCTAGCAAAGGATGTCCCCTTCGTGTGGTCGGATGGTTGTGAGGCATCTTTCAAAAACTCAAGCATTCTTACTTCATCTCCAATCATGCGGCCATCCAAGTGGGAACTATCATTTGAGTTCATGTGCGACGCGAGTGATTAAATGGTCAGCATAGTGCTAGGTCAAAAGGAAGACAAAAGGTTATATGTAATATACAAAGATAGCAAAATTCTAAATGAAGCACAAATGAATTGCACTACCACTGAAAAAGAGTTTCTAACTATAGTGTTTGCATTGGATAAATTTAGGTCATACATCATTGGTTCACCTATTGTAGTCTGCACTGATCACTCTACTTTGAAGTATTTGTTGTCTAAGCAGGAAGCTAAACCAAGACTCATTAGGTAGATCCTTCTCCTTCAAGAATTCAAACTTATCATCAAGGAAAAAAAAGGAGTTGAGAATGCGGTGGCAAACCATTTGTCATGGCTTGTTGTCCAAGACGCCGAAGAGTACATCACTATCCCTGATTTTTTCCCGGATGAGCATCTATTTTCTATCCATTCAATTTGTCCGTGGTATGCTGACATTTGAAATTTTCTTGCCACATGATAAATACCCCTACATTGGAGCCCAGAAGATAAGAGAAGATTCATGGCAGATGTGAAGTACTTCTACTTCAACAACCCGTACCTGTTCAAATATTGCCCTGATCAAGTTGTGAGGAGGATGTCCTCTCCTTCTGCCATTCTGAGGCATGTGATGGGCACTTCTCTTCCAAGAAAAATTCAGCTAAGATTTTATAAAGCAATTTTTATTGGCCTACATTGACTAAAGATTATGTATCCTTTTGCAAACAATGTGATAACTATTGAAGCTTGGGAAGTGTGACCCGTAGAAACATGATACCCTTCTCCCCCGTGCTAGTCATTGAAATCTTTGATTGTTGGGGCATTGATTTCATGGTTCCATTTCCTATATCTTTTCGCTACCTTTATATCCTATTGGCAATGGACTACGTGTCCAAGTGGGTAGAGGCAATCCCGACCAAGACCAATAATCATCGAGTCGTGGTCAAATTTTTAAAAGAAAATATTTTTCTAGGCTTAGGATACCTAGTGCAATGATAAGTGAAGGTGGTTCACATTTTTGCAATAGACCATTTGCTTCTTTGATGCATAAATAACATACAAGGTATCCACCACTTATCACCCACAGACTAATGGCCAAACCGAGTTGACCAATATGGAGATAAAGAGCATAATAGAGAAAATGGTTAACCCAAAATGAAAAGATTGGTCACTCAGATTGACCATTACCTTGTGGGATTACTGCATTGCTTATAAGACCATCCTTGGTATGTCTCCCTATCGGTTAGTCTACGGCAAGGCTTGTCACTTGCCAATAGGGATGGAGCACAAGGCATATTGGGCCATTAAATTTCAATTTGAGAATAGCTGGGGAACATAGAAAGTTGGCGTTGAATAAATTGGAGGAAATTCATAGAGATGCATACAAGAGCTCAAAAATCCATAAAGAAAGGGCAAAAATTTGCCATGACAAATTCATTTTGAGAAAGACATTTGATCCCAGACAAAAAGTGCTATTGTATAATTCTCACCTCTCCATTTTTTAAGGGAAACTCCAATCATGATAGGATGGCCCCTATATTGTCAAGGTGGCCTACTTGAATGGAGCTGTGGACATAGAAACCCCAAAGATGGTAAAACATTCAAAGTTAATGGCCAAAGGTTTAAACCATTCTTCGAGGGTTTTGAAATTCAAATAGTGGAAGAGGAGTTAGTGGATCCGGTCTACCCGGATCCTATTGAGGCATAATTGTTCAAGTAGATATTAGTGTATAGTTATTTTCCTTTATTCTTTAATTTGCAAGTTAAATTGTTTACTTACAATTGTGCATAGTATTCTTTCTTCATATATCCAGATAGTGGTGTTTTTGTCAAAACTCATTCCGAGGTGTTCTCTTATCCTTCTTATCTTTTTAAGTCCATCATTGCATTCCATATCTTTTTGTTGCATTGAGGAAAATACATAGTTCAAGTTGGGGGGTGAGGTGCACAATTTGTATGATACACCAATTTTTTGTTAACAACACCATTTTGTGGTGAAATGCACCATTCACTTATTCTACCAATTTTTTGTGTAGAATAGGAATAGGTGGAGATAAGTGGAAAATTTTAAAAACAAATTTGTGGAAAATATCTAAATGTTTGAACCATATTCCCCTATTCAAAGTGTTAAGGGTCTAGTGATAGTTTGATCTTCATCTTGAACTTTGAACACATGAGTGCATGATAGAAATCTATCCTATGCCTGAGTATTATATATGTGTTTTCTTTCAAACTCAACCATAGTGCACCTTGAATGTGTAATTTCAAAAATTTATTGATTGGATCCACATTTTAGAGCTTGACATATGTTGTCCGAATTTGATATTGACAATTTACGTGCAAATATACACGATCAACAAGTAACAAAGTGACAAGTAGAGTATCATTCCCACAAAGATTTATTACTAATAATGTCTATGTACTAACTTTGTATCAATTCAATTTTATTTAAACAACTGGAATTGAACTATGAAATGACAAATTTAAAACTAAATCTAAACTTAATAATCAATGATTGAATTTACCAGATAAAAGAACTTAAGATTATAACTTCCCCTAATGCTTCGTATAAATCTTTCTACTCTTTTTCCAATTAATTAATCAAAATAAGTTGTTAACTGAAAACTCAAAATTATTTATCAAACCTTTTTCGATAATTAAATAAAAATATCTCTCTCAATTAAATTACTATATTCCTATGCAAAATAATTTCGAATAGATTCATTAAGTTCAAAGTCTCATATAATTTACACACGACATATAGGTATATTTCTATCCTATACACAAACCCAGTTATTCAATCCTAAGAAGAATTAATCAAACGCATGTCATTATATTCAGATATAAACCTAGAATTTATCTTCCAATTTCATCTAGGAAATCAAATCAATTTCTAGCCCCACAATCATATATTAAGCACAAAATATGATAAACAACTTATATATGATCAATAAAAACTAGATACGAGAGTAGATTAATTTAACTAAACATCAGGTTTCGTTGCAATCTTAATAAAAATTTAGCTCATAATGTAATTGAAAAACATCATTCTCAAATTAATCAACATCTTAGAAAATCAAAAACTAAAAATAAGAGAAAAGAATGAAAACTTAGTTTCAATCTTCAATCTCTCTCTAACCTTCAAGTCCAATCTTCTTCGCGTCGCTTCCTTCAATTTTTGTCTTCAATTCACTTTTAATCCTTGGTTTTCCCTCTATTAGAAGCCCCCTTAAATAGTATATTTATATCCCCGCTTAAACCCTACCATGTATTTAGCATTAGAGTTCAATTTCTACTCAAAAACAAGTCAGAATTCGCATCAAGAGCTGAAACACGCAGTGCAGCCCCATAAATCAGCGTAGCTGCGTTGACTTTTTACCCTCCTAGAGCTGTAGTGCTGCATGTAGAGCTACGGTGATGATCCCTTTTTATGCCCATAGCTGCCCTTGTTGCTTAATGTACTCTAAGAAAATTGCAATGTTTCAAAAGAGAGAGACTTGGTGTGTAGAAAGGTGAGAGAGATGTCAAGGTCATCAAGGTGATGCCCTCTATGTGGAGAGAGCTTACATTATATAGGTATGATGAGGCAGTGAGGTGAGATGGTCACTACTATTTTGGTAAGTACAATTAAGGTAGAATTAGATCTCCATGTGTATCATAATATTCTCTCTCTCGTCCTCCTATTCCTTTGAGAGGAGGATCCTGAGCTGGGTCGGATTGGATCAAAGTGGCAAAGTAAGGAGGTCGAAGGAGAGATAGGAGGGCTAGGCCATAGACGGCGCCTGGTGCTTGGGTGTTCCCCTTGGGCTGCTCCTTTGGATGCTGGCAAATTAGGTTCTGTTTTGGGCGCTAATGACTTGGCCTCTTCTTGGTTTTTTTTATTAGGCTAGCATAGTTGATTTTGGGCTCACCATTTGCCCCCCATGCCCCAAGCCTCAGAATGTTCATGCAAGTGGGTGTTGAGGGCATGTGCTTCTTCTTCACTTGAGTAGGAGTTTTCTTGCTCCCCATGGCGCTTTTCCATCTTTTGGAACTCTGTTGAGTTTACTGAAATCGGATATATTTTTTGCATTTTTCGGTATTGCTCTTACTAGGTCTTTGTCTATAAATAGGGGTCCTTGGTCTCTTCCTCCTCATTCCTCTTTTCATTTCTTATTTATGGAGGCTTCTCTTAGAAGCTATCCCTATAAGCTTCTCCAAGAAGCTATTCAATCAAGCTTCTTCAAGAAGTTGGTCATCAAGCTTCTCTAAGAAGCTACTTCAACAAGGCTTCCTCAAGAAGTCATTCTTCCTCTATTTAAAGGCCTCTTCAAGAGGCTACTGTTCATCACTCTCATTTCTCTCCCTTCGTCTTCCCTTTCTCAAATTATAGAAAACCCATGGAGACTAGAAGCTCAAAGAAACACAAAGAGGGTTTTAGTGGCGATGGAGGCGGCGCCCAAGGGGCTAATTTTGGAGGTGGCCATAGTCTCGGGATCTTCGTTGAGGCCGACAAAACTTCCATGGAAGGAGTAGAAGGTAGTGGAGCCATGGAGCGTGGCGCCTATGGTGAGGAAGGGAGAGGCGATGGCAGTCCGCAAGGCATGGGAGAGCCCATGGGCGGCACCAGGGATGCTACGGACGGCACCCAACTAGGCAGCCAAGATAAGGGCAACGCCTTGTCTTTTTTGGGCGCTGGGCCTACTTGGTCAGGTGGAGGCTTCAACCATTTGGGCGCCGACTGTGCTAGAGAGATTGGGCGAAATGGAGGGGCAGGAGAAATAGGGGGTCCCATCCCCATGGGCGGCACTAGGGGCTTGGGCGACTCCCTCTCAGGAGTGGTTCAAGCCTCCTTTCATGAGGCCAATGATGGAAATATCGCTTTAGGTGCTGGGTCTCTCCCTCCAGACCATGGTGGTGACTCAGGTGTGATGAGCAGCTCCAAGAAGCATGCAGGCAAGTCTACTAGCACCTTAGGTAGTGCGAGGAAGTGACCAGTCAGTGACTTGAGCAGACTGAGCTCTCAAGGTATGTTGTCGGGAGCTCATATTTACTCCTTTGTTGGTATGGGCATTTTTTTTTAACAATGGCCTAACTTTGTTTTTGGCGGGTGTTCCTTCAGGCGAGCGGGAGATTGTTAGGGACACTAAGGGAGGTCTAGGTACTAATGGAGGCAACGACTCTAGGGTAACCTCTATACTTAGCTCCCTCGACTATGACGAGGACATCACAGCCATTGTTTCTATGTATCGAATCCCTCCTTCTGTGGCGTGTCATCGTGTCAAGGGCAACGAGTCAACATGCTATGACTCCATCAGCGAGATTGTCCTTTATGAGGGGATATTGGAGGCAGGCTTGCGATTTTTGATACCCGGGCCTGTATCGCTAGTTCCCGGGAGACTGGCCCCAAATGGGTGGAGGGTGATACTAGCATTTTTTGCCTTATGGCAGTTAGTGCATGATGCTACTATTCCTCCACCATTTAAGGAATTCTTAGCCATGTATGTGCTCTTGGAGAACTCTGTTCCTAACCAGGGGTGGTATTATTTTTCCCCGAGGTAAGGCAAATTCATCACTAGCCTTATATCAAATCTCCATAGTTGGAAGACCAAGTTTTTCTTCGTTGGAGGCGAGTGGACCTCTGAGTCTGATCGTTCCATAGTGCCCTCCAAATGGGATATTATACCCAAGACCAAGCTGGGTAAGATCTTCTACCTTTAATTTTTGTTCTAGTCATCACATATTTGTTCTTATAGCACAACTGGCTTCTTGTAGCTTCGTCGACTCTATCCGTGGTGCAGGAGAGTAGGCTTTAGATGGTTCATGACCATCCATACAAGGAGTTCTGTGGGATCATGTTGGCATTTGGTCATTCCTTAGCTTCCCCGAGGTCGAGGAGGAAAGGTACTTGACTTTTCTAGTAGACTTTCTATGCACTTGATGTCATGGGCTTTTTAACTTATGTTGATTTTGCAGGTGCCTCCATTGATAGATCGGTGGTGGAGGCGGTATGCGCTTCCAGAGCGTTGTCTTCTCCGCCTCCTTCTAAGACAGTGAAGTCCAGTGCCCCTAGTACTCCTTACCGAGGCTCTCTGGTCAGGCCGGTCTCTGAGAGACGGGGCTTGGTGATGCCCCTAGTTCTCCCTTGATTGATATATCCTCACCTCCTAGAGATGAACCTAGTGCTACTATAGAGGCTGAGGCCTTGGTGCGGTGACCTGCTAGGGTGAAGTGTCTGCCTAGCTACTCTACTTCGGGATGTGCTTTAGTTTCTATGTTGTAGGGTGTGAAGCTTGCCAAGGAGAGGCTTTGGGGGTTTGTGACCCATATTGAGGTTGAGGAGATTAGCTCTCGGGATCTAGAGGGTGTCGTTGACGTTGCCATGGAGGGCTTCATTCTGGTATATCTAGCACTCTTCTTTAGCTTTGCTTTGACTTTCCTTCATATTTTACTTTTAAATGCTTATAGGTGGCTACTGCTTTGTCCTGCTTGTTTACGAGCACACTAAAGATTAGGAAGACAATCTATGGCTAGGCAATAGAGAGGCAGGTACATGAGGAAACTAAAGAGCAGTTAAGGCTTAAGTGGTAGGCACGAGAGGATGTTGCGGAGCTTGCACGACAGGCATGAGAGGATGCCGTGAAGCAATTAGGCCTCAAGCAGCAGGTGCGAGAGGATGTCATAGAGCAATTGAGGCTAGCGCATGAGAGAGCCGCCAAGTTGGAGGCTGACCTTCGAGTAGCTCTTGAGAGGGTTGCTAAGGTAGAGGCTTACTCCACAGAGGTAGAGAAGATAAGGTATGCTACTGAGAGGGCCAAGGCAGGTGCCTTTATTGACGGCTATGATGAGCTTAGGAGGAAGGTCTCAGCGGCATTCCCTGCTTACGACTTCTCTCGCTTTCAGCCTTATGAGGCTTCCGAGACTAATGAGGACACGAGCGACGATGGGAGTGGGGGTAGTGAGTGTCGTTAGGTGGTGTCTTTGTATTCACTTTTTTTGTTGATAGGTTAAATTCTATCTTTGTAAAGGTTTTATGAACTTGAAAGAAATATAACTTTTGAAAAAATATTGAGGAATTTTATTTCATAACTGAAAGTGAATATTTGAAGGAAATTGACCAAAATAAATGGTAAATAGTCTAAATAGTGACCACCAACTTATAACTCACTACCCCTAGCTACTAGTAGTATTTCTTTAGATGCTCTGCATTCCATGGATGGGCCAAGACTTTTCCTTCAAAGTTTTGTATTCTGAAGGTGCCCAGCCTTACCACATTTGTGATCGTGTAGGGTCCTTTCCAGCTGGGTCTGATGAGTGGGTTTTATACCTATGAATTGAGTGCTTTCGGCTTAATGAAATTGCAAGTTTTTAATTATTTTATGTTCATTTTTATTCGTTTTGTGTGTTTTGATGTTATTTTGTAGGAATGACCATTTTGGAGGAAACAAGGTCAAAATTGGAGCCTAAGTGTTGGATTTTTGAAGAGGAAGCTAAAGGGCATTTTAATGGAGTATTTATAGAGTACTATTTTGTAGCAGTACCTCGGTTTTCTGCCTTTTGGACCATGATTCACTTTGAATCTGAACAAGTTCAAAACTTGAAAGTTGTAGATCATGATATCTTCTGTATTGTGTCAAAATTTCAGCTCAATCGGACATTTGTATCAAATGTTATGACAATTCTACGAAGACTGGTCCGGACCAGGCAGAATACAAGGAGGCGCGCCCCAGCGCCAAAACACTGTCCAAATAAGTGCCCCTGCGCCAGTTTGAGCGCCCTTGCACATGTGTTAATTCATGACGCAAATTTTGACTTGTTTTGAGCCCAAAATTTAACCCTAAGGCTATATATATACTAGGGTTTGTGTGGGGATGGGAGATTCTGACTTTTGGGGGCTGAAAACGGCTGCAACGACCAAGAAATTGGAAGAAAATTGAAGACACGGATTGAAGAAATCGACACGAAGAAGATTGGACTTGAAGGCTAGAGACGGATTGGAGACTACAACTAAGTTTTCATTTTTTTTTTCTCTTACTTTTTTTTCTTGATTTTCTAAGATGTTGTTTAATTTGAGAATGATGTTTTTCAATTACGTTATGAACTAAATTTTTATTAAGATTGCAACGGAACCTATGTCTAGTTAAATTAATCTACTCTCGTTTCTAGTTCTTATTGATCTTATATGAGTTGTTTATCATATTTTGTGTTTAATATATGATTGTGTGGCCAAAAATTAATGTGATAACTTAGATGAAATTGGGAGATGAATTCTAGGTTTAGATCTGAATATGATGACATGCGTCTAGTTCATTCTTCTTAGGATTGAATAGGTGGGTTTGTGTATAGGATAGGAATATACCTATATGCCGTGTGTAACTTTTATGAGAGTTTGAACTTAATAAATCTATTCCAACTTATTTTGCATAGAAATATAGTAATCTAATTGGGATAGATAATTTTATCTAACTATCGGAAGAGGTTTGATAAATAACTTTGAGTTCTCAGTTAACAACTTATTTTGATCAATTAACTGGAAAGAGAGTTAGAGGGATTTATACGAAGCATTAGGGGAAGTTGTAATCTTAACTTCTTTTCTCTAGTAAATTCAACCCTTGATTGTTAAGTTTAGATTTAGTTTTAATTAGTAATCCATAGCTCAAATTCAATTGTTTAAATAAAATTGAATTGATATAAAGTTAGTACTTGGAATTTATTACTAATAATTCTCCGTGGGAACGATACTCTACTTATCACTTTATTACTTGTTGATCGTGTATACTTGCACGTAAATTGTCAATACCAAATTTGGACAACAAGTTTTTGGCGCCGTTGCCGAGGACTTATTCTAGTAATTATTTCAATATTAATTTCAATCAATTTGATCTTAGTTTAAACTTATTTAATTTTATGTTTTAACTACTTTTGCAATTACTCTTGAATTTTGTATGCAAACATGATCCACAGGTCAAGAGCTACTACCATACGAGGACGAAATCGAAAGGAAGCTCCGAAACTTGCAAAAGTAGTGTCAAGAAGTAAGAAATCAAGGAACTATGGCTGAAGATGAACAGAAATCGTTAAGGGATTATGTTATGCCGCTTGTTACAGAAATACAATTGAGCATTCAAAGGCCCGCAATTCAAGCAAACAGTTTTGAAATCAAGTCGGGTACCATCCAAATGATTCAAAATTCAGTGCAGTTTGGGGGTTTACCCAACGATGACCCAAACGATCATTTGGTAAGTTTTTTGGAGATTTGTGACACATTCAAGTATAATGGAGTTTTCAAAGATGCAATTAGACTCCGAATTTTCCCTTTCATACTTCGTGATAAGGCGAAGAGTTGGTTGCATTCATTGTCGTCGGGTTCTATTACTACGTGGACAGAGTTAGCGCAAAAATTCTTAGCTAAATTCTTTCCACCAGCTAAAACTGCAAGGATGAGGAACGATATCACATCGTTCGCACAATATGACTCTGATACTCTGTATGAAGCGTGGGAGAGATTCAAAGACTTACTCCGAAAATGCCCTCACCATAGCATTCCTCAGTGGTTGCAAGTTCAAACGTTCTACAACGGGTTGTTTAGTGCTACTCGGACCAATATTGATGCAGCTGCAGGTGGGGCATTGATGGGAAAAATTTTTGATGAAGCTTATGAGTTATTGGAAACAATGGCTGCCAACAATTATCAATGACCCTCTACAAGGATCAATCAGCAAAAGGTAGCTGGAATTTATGAAGTGGATGCGGTTACTGTATTAGCTACATAGGTTGCTACACTGACAAAGAAGATTGATGCTTTAGGGGTGCAACCTATTCAAAGTGTGGCAGTCATTTGTGAATTGTGTGCTAGGAACCATCCAAGTGAACAATGCGTAATTAATCCGGAGTTGGTACAATACATTGGTAACCACAACAGGCAACAATATAGCAACATTTCCAACAACTATAACCCTGGTTGGAGGAATCATCCGAGTTTTTCATGGAGTAA